TCTGTTGCATTTTACTACCTTAAAAAATAAAGTTAAACTCCACCTTCTGTTTAAAATTAAAAACAAAACCAACAACAACAACAAAAAAAACTACCACTCAAAAGTATATGAAAATATTTTTTTTTGGAACCAAGTGACGAACTCAGGAACTTGTGATTAATACACTGAGCTATATCCAAGACCCCCCCCAAATTTAACAGAATGCATCAGACACACTTGAAGAAATATCTCTAACTATAAAGCCCTTATCTAATATCAAACAAAAGATGATGTCTGAACTCTTCCCTAGGACTCCTTAAAGGCTGAGCTGTGTCTCTAGGGCACACATTGTGAAAGCATGTGATCCTTACTCACATAAATCAAAGTTGAGCTCAACTTTCTGTTTGGTGGCATGAGAAATGGTTTCCTTGGGAAAGGCTGGAGCTCCCTGTTCCATGAATTGAGGACAGAGTGCCACACAGCTGGAGGAACCTGAGGGAGTCGGATCCAGACAAGGAAAGAGAGCAGATGCTCCCTTAGATTCCTCCTCAGAGAACAGCTCATGGTGAACCTACAATGGTGCCACCAGAGAGGACTGGAAGTGCCCCTGCTGTGGAGTAGCAAGAGCAGTCTCGCAGGGAAGACTCCAATAGATCAACAAATGTCCACAGAGCTATTAGACTGGAGATTTAGAAAAGATGTTTTATAAAACACTGGATTTGCCAATGAGAAGATAACACATCTTTAAGTGGAAGTTAGCTCCATAGGGTAAAGTAGGAAATCTTGGTCTCTGATGCAAGTTACCCTTGCATTTGGTTCAAAAACCAAAAACAAAAACAATCTAGAGATACGTTTTCACTGTTTCTTGGCAAATGCTTTGCACTTGAGTCCAATCCACAGCAAAGGAGCAGCTGGGCCCACCCCACAGTCACAGGGAAGGCAGAGCCCTCTCTGATTCATCATAGAGGGTGATTTTATTACCATGGCAGGAGTAATCCAGTAACAGGATATGAAGAGTTATGAACACATGAGCCAAGTCCCCTTCACCAAAGATGTCTGTCTCCACTCAGGCTAGGAATGGCTGTCACGAGCCATAAACGCAGCACAGGTGCCCTTTCAGAGCATCTCTTCAAGGTAGGACTGAGCTATGGTAAAAAGGCCCAGGGGAGAATCTGGCAGGTGTAACCACAGGACTTTATCCTCCCCAGGGATTTGCATCTATGCCTTCACCACAGGCCACACCCTCAGATGGGAGCTAAAATCCAGGAAATCATAGCGCTACAGGGTTATCCAGAAGATGAGAGGCAAAAAGATGTCACCAGCTTCTTTGTGTGGCTCCTGCTCCTCTGTGTTTCACATGAGAAAGGAGCCCTGAGGCACAGTTTCCTGGGGGAGCCTCAGCTCCTTTGGTAGATGGTCTTGTGATGTGAGGGAAAGTGCAGGTCTCTCAGAGCAAAAACTTTGAGATGATTTTTCCTTCCATCCTGAACACAGTCTGCTACAATAGAGTCTCCCAGCATTTCTGAATGTGGCCTTGTTCCTCTGATTACAGGATCCTATGGGAAGATTGTGTTCACCCAGCAGGCAGGGAACTATCTGTGTCCCTATGAGAGAGCCTGTCCGTCACCTGCAGTGCCAGTGAGAGTCACCCCTACACTGATGGGAAGCCCTATCTGTCCTGGTATCAACATAGGCAGGGCAGCCTCCCAAGAAACTTTGTTTGTCACACATCCACCCTCATGGATGGCATCCCAGCCCACTTCAGTGGTGGAGGCTCAGGAACAGTGTTCACTCTGCATAATAGGGACCTGTTGTCTTAGGACTTCACTGCCCACTTGTGTCTCCAAACCCTGAAGAGCCTGCCCACAGTGGTTGAGTCCCAAAAAATAACTTCCACATGGCACAGCTTCAGGATCCTCCTCCCCCATCTGCCTCTGCTCAGGGGATGCTCTTATAGAAACAGCTGGGTACAGACAGGAAAAGTGCAGGAAGGCACAGCTGTAGAGCAATAAATACAGATTGCATGAACCCCTTTCTGCTACACTGCTTCCCTCTGTGTCTTCACTCATAGAAGACCCTCCAAAGAAACTGGCCCAGTTGGTCCATAAATCAATCAATCAATCAATCAATCAATACATACATAGGAACAAAAACGGATCTATCATTCCTTCTCTGTGCTTGTCTACATGTCTCTTTTCTGAATTTCCTTTCATCATTTGCACAGCTCCTTCATGATATTTCCAGGGCCGTTGCTTTCTCTCTGCTCAATCCCTCACTTTAGTTAGACACAGGTCATTTGCAGCAATGGACAAGGGTGGTCAGAATAGAATTCCCTTCCATGTTGCCATGGTGAGGAAAGCCTAACGTGCTTATGACCTGACAAGTTGTCTCAGTATCCCTTGGCTCTGTGATGCTGAATTTCACCATTTGATTCCTGCATGTCACCTTCCCTCCATCACTCTGTCACTTTGGGCTCTTCCCCAGGTGGGATGCTGAGTCCCTCATTTTCAGTACTTCTTCATCACACCTAAGCCTACTTCAGACAGGCACTGGTTCTCCTACCAGGGTCTTAGCACTTTATCATTTCTGGAAAAAGAGCAGAGGAATGGCTCCAAAGGATCTCATCAGGATGGAAAGCTTGAAGGGAAAATTGTCCGGTGAAAGTAAAAATGGCCACCAGTGCTCCAGTGAATAGGATTTATGTTTTTAGGGGGAGCGATGAGCTAGTCAAAGAGGAAACTTTATCTGATTTAATTGACTACTTCTGCTCTGCTTACAGGAGAGATTTAGCACCCTGCTTCTACACTTGGGAGCTGCACAATCCCTTGCTTTGGCCAATCCCTCTGGTGTATTATCTGTGATTTTTGTCTTTGTCTTTGTGACATATGTTTTTCATTCTCTTATATAACACATGGAAGTAGATTTGGAGCTCCAATTTTTAGTCTAAGACATTCTCATCATCTAAATAGCTTTAATTTAAATCTTCAAAAGAAAATTTCATACAAACAATAAACCCATAATTTCTATGGACCCCAATGTTTTGACATTACACTCTGTCGACTAAACCAGTGAGGGAGCTGCTATTTCTGTGATACCTGATGCCAATTTACCAGGATTTACAATGGCACTCTCTCTTTTGTCCTCTTTTTCTTCTCTCTTACTCCATTCCTCCTTGTTCAGCAGACACATGTATAAAGCCTGTTCACCAAGATTCCACAGTTCTTCCTGGGGCTTGAGCTTCAAGTGAATTTGCTCACCACTGACCGAGGAGAATTGGGTTGAGAGCTCTGCATCCAGGGCCCTCATTCCTGCTCTTGGAAGAAACTCTAATCATTGTCAGTCCCCTGTCTTCAGCCCCACTGAGCTTCTAGTGATGCAACCGGCGTTACAGCCTCTTCACTGTGCTCTCTGAAGTTACAGTGGGCAGGGTTTTTTTTTTTTTTTTTTTTTTTTTTTTTGATTTTGTTTTTCTGTACTATGAGCAGACCATGGACTGTACCATGTGTGATCTCACCACAGGGACAATGCATGATTATCGTAAGAACACATTCTGCAATTGACATGAACTGAAATATCCTTGCAGAACTTTCTCTGATTCAAGATTTGCTTCAGCTCTGGTACTCATCTTAGGTGGCAGTTTTGCTTAAGGGGCTCCTGCTTTCCATCTTTATTTCCTTTAACAAGTCTCCCTCTTCCCTTCCACAACTTTCTGCTTATAGAGAATATGCTTTCTGGCTGAGAAGTCCTAGTGTTGAGAGAACTGACCAAAGGAAATGGACATATCATTATTCTTGGAGGCTATTTTTGCCATGAATTATTGTCAATTTCATTATGTCAATGAATAGATTGGAGAATAAAATGCATAATCCATGTAAGTTCCCTTCTTTCAGTTATGAAAGTGAAGCATAAGTCCTGTCTCAGGGTCACAGTTTTAAAGAGATCTTAGTAGATAGGTGTATAGTTCAAATTTACATTGAAAATACACGATGAACCTCTCTGACATCTTCAGATCTTCAATAAATAGAGCCCTTATATCGCCCAGGTACCTTATTTCATGAATCTTCTTAAAATGTTCTTTTCCTTTAGGAACAGGCATTACTCTGAGTATTATTATGGAGAAGTACTATAAGTCATGTACTCATGTACATGACCCCCTAAGAGTCATGTACTCTAAAGCAGGTACTAGCCCATTTATTGTATCATAAGTGCTTGCTGTACTCTGCAACACATTTATCCTTTCTTGTATACAGAAGCAGAATGGGCTTTTGCGATGTTAGACCTTCCTGGACAAGGGTAACAAGGCATGACCTGGAGGATGGAAGCCTGCTTCTTATCCTTCCTCCTCTCTCTGGCCCCTGGCTTCACAGGTTGAGTACATTTCCTTGTATCTTGAACACCTACATACATTGTTTCTATGATGGACCAGCCTAACATGGGATATAACTATGAGTAAAAATAAACTCCATCTTCCTTAAGGTTTTAATGTGGCATATTCTTTCCTTCTGATGAAAAGAATCATCACTAAGGTGTTTCAGAAAGTTGCAAGAAACAACAGAACACTCTTCAGCTTCAGGACAGGTCTGAGCTCCAGAGTACTAGGAGCTGATATTTTAGGGAAGAATTGTTGGGGAGAACATTTAGAGTACCACCTTCTCTGGCTACAGCCTATCTAAGCCTCTTACTGTTCATTATTTAGCCTGCTAATATCTATATAAGTATTTCCTGATTCAAATATCAATGAAAGTTTCTTTTTGACTATTTGAATCTCAAGTGTTGTCACAACTTAGGTGATTTGCATGTACAAATTTTAGTCTTAATGAATTTAGAAGATGTAGCTTCAACTCTGTGATATGAGAGAAGAGTCAGTAAAAAGTTATGATGCAGAGGAGCCTACCTGTGTTTTTCTACAAAGATCTTTCTGTTACTGTCAAATGCTGCATGTTTGAAAAACACCCAGCTGGAGCAACAGTAGGAGATGCAGCTGGGGCAGCAACACTCACACTTCTGCTTCCCTGGGTGGTTTATGTCATGGCTTGTATCACTGTGAGAGGGGAACTGTAAGTCTGTTGACAGTAATAAGTTGCAATGTCTTCAGGCTGCAGGCTGCTGATGGTGAGAGTGAAATCTGTCTCATATCCACTGCCACTGAACCTTGAAGGGACCCCAGATTCCAAACTGTCTGCACCATAGATCAGGAGTTTAGGAGCTTTTCCTGGTTTCTGCTGATACCAATTTAAGCTGTAGCCAATATTCTCACTAGCCCTGCAAGTGATGATGACTGTGTCTCCTAAAGCTGAAGAAAGTGAAGCTGGAGTCTGGGTCAACTGGATGTCACATGTGGCACCTGAAAAGGCAAGCACAAAGATAAATAGCCACACACTTATACAGCTTACAAGACAGAGTTGCCTGAAGTGCCAGCAAATCCCCAGTGCTGTCCTTCTTTACCTTGGAGCCAGAGCAGCAGGAGGCCCAGGAGCGGAGTGAGGCTTCTCCTCTCCATGCTGTGTGCTGAATGAGACTGACACCTGCACTGGGTATGAGCAGGTATGAGACTGACACCCGCACTGGGTATGAAAGTCCTCAGGACAGTGGGCTGTGCTCTTAGCTCATGCAAATTTGCAAGAATTTGAAAGGGCTGGGCACAGCTCCAGTGCCCAGAATATATGCTGGTTCAGGTCAGATCAGGGCTGAAAGATTTTCCTTTAGGCAATGAATTTCTCCCACCATTCAAAAACATAAGACATATTGGGCCAATTTCAGAACTTCATTTGGGTTCAGCATACATGAATAATGTAATTAACAGTTTAGTTAATGTTATATCCAAAAATATATACAAAGAAGACATTGAATACTTTTAAGTTTTTTTTCTCCGACATATTCTTTTCTTTTTTTCAGCTTTCAGTATAAAACCCATGATTTAGCTTTAGGCCAGACCTCTTCAGAAGAAGAATAATCACATACACTGATGAATCCTAGGCAAAGAATTGATGATCTTATATATGACACTTCCAGCTCTGTCCCTGGGATCCTAGCGAGTTTCAGAACCAGAGTACTAGTACCAACTCTTGTTCAGAGTCTTCAATTCTAGCCTGTGGACTGACAGGATTTTTCTGTTTGTTTGTTTATTTTATGAATAGGGAAAATAGAAGCTGAACATGAAGAAAGTATTTAAAGAGTGATTCCAAGAATTAGGGGAACACAAGAAAAAAAACTTGACATGAATTTAAAAGGACCACTAATTGCCCACATCTGGAGTACACACTAAAAAAGTTAATGATTACACATGGTGACACACTGAAGAAAATGTGACTCCGTGAATTCCAACAGGTATTTTAAACAAGAATGGACTCTTCATAAACTTTCTCACTTCTTCTATATAAACCCTTACTAATTATAGAAGAGAGAAAGAATAGTGGAGCACTGAATTCTCTCAGCAAATCCTCCATCTTTGGTTCAATGTGAACGTCACCAAATGGTGAATCCAAAAATAAAGCAGGGTACTAGACATGAACATATTGAAGTTATTTAAGGTTTTACCACCAGGCGGAGCTACTGTACCTTAGATCTGCAAGTGACAGAGGAACACAAGAGGACTGAGATGTCACCTGAGAAACAAATTCGTGTGAACCATACTGAAAAAGTATAGATACCTAAGTGTGTAGTGAATTGTTTTTTTGAAGTATATTTTTTTTTTTGTAAAATAAATATCTTGGACACTGGGATACACATTGTGCCCTCCCTTACCGATTCAGTCACATGTATACATTCCATGTAGTGACACAATACAGAGTAGTGTGGATTAAGAGTGCCAATTGCAGGTTTGCATGAGCCTAGAGCCTTTTCTCTGTGACTACTTTATGTATTCAGGTGGCTAAAGCTGTCTTTGAAGAGTACAACTGATGTAAAATGATGTTACATTTGAAGATTTTCCGGAACATTAACAAAATAAGTATTGCATTGATTTCTGGGCATTAAAAAGCATGCCACCGAATTACTTTCCATTATGTAACTCCACAACTGAATGTCAATGCGAGTTTTAATTTTGCAATCTGAATATACACAGACGTGCAAATTGCATGAGGTGGGTTTATTAAATACAGTTACACAAAACATACGAGTGAAGCCTAGGATGCATTGTGAGCCAGAAGTTTCATCTCAGCAAAGCCATGGGAAAGAAGGGTGTCTCCTTTATGCATATTCTACTTTCACAACAACTGAAAAACATTTAGAAAGCAGGCATCTTGGGTTTCCTATGATGAAGAGTGTGACTCTGCTAAAGAGATTAAGCACATCATTTCTCAGTGACTGAAGCAGCAATCAAGCATTTTATTTTGTACCTGAGATCCAACTCAGGACCTCACACTTGCCAGGCATGTGCTTATGCTACAGAGCTAAAGCCCTGGCCCTAGCAATCATGCTCTTTGACCCAATTTTACAAACTACTTTCTCAGGATAGTGCACTCACAGTATATTCTGTAGTTATGATGAACACTGATCTGGGAGAAGGGGGAAAGAGCAAAGTCATCCCAAGCTACATAGGGAAGTGTCTTGTATATAACATCATGGAAGGTTCACACAGTAGAGCAAACTCATTACCTTCAGGTACTAAATAAATAGGTAAATATACAAAGAATCAAGGACTAGAGTACCACAATTCTTCTGCAGCATGCAGCCTTAATAAAGGACTAATATCCCACTTAGGCCCATGACCGGCGCAGCCCCCCAATGAGACAGAGGACGCTCTTGTGGGTAACAGGTAACTGCCGCTTTATTGTTGCGGGCTCTGGCTTATATATTCGGCCGTGAACAATCACAGGCTGCCACGAGCTGCTCACGAGGAGACAGGGCTGGAATGGGACGCGGGCTCTGGTTAATATATCCAGCTGTGGCCAATCAGGGGTTGCCACAGAGTCAGCACGGGGCGAATACGAAGTGAGCACGGGGTCACTAGTTTGGAGAGGGACGTAGCGCATTGTGGAAGCTGACGTGGTCCTTAGTCCCGGGTGGGGTATGGTATGTTGAGCGCCTGCACCCAACAGGCCCACATCTAAAAGTTTCCTAAATGTCCCCTCCCTGTCCCCAAGTTTTTAACACAGAGACCACTCAGAGTCACTCAAGATCTAACAAAATCAGACCTGTAACTGAGCAGTGCTGCCTTGAGCCTCTCCAGCTCTTTCAGATGAACTAGTGTTGTGTGTGGGTTTCACCACTGAAGACCACTTTGTCAAAGAGCTACACATTGAGATTGCTAATCTTCCCATACATCCTACACAAGTCTCATCCTAATTCGTTCCTATTAATTCCTTTAGTGCAAGTTCTGTGGAGAAAGGGAGTAATATTTGAATAAAAAACACAAAACCTACTCTCCTGGTTCCAAACTGAAATTGCAATCCTGCAGGGTATAGAGATTGGGCAAGAGCAGTAAGAGAGAATACCATCAGCCTTGACATAGTTGGCAGCACAGAGACTATACAAGCACCTGAACCTCTGCCCAAAGCCTATGCTGAGATCACAGAAATGGAACCTGGTGGAAAGGAATCAAGACACCATTCCTCCCACTGCTGGCTTCAGTGTATCTAGGTATTTTGCTGTACTTACAGCTAAGAAGGAATTCCCTCAGAGATACATTCAAGTAATATGATCACTTTTCCAAAAAAAAAAAGAATTTTACAATATATTAATGCATATGACAATATACTACTTTTTTATCTAACAAAACAGATCAATTTTCCTCAGCTTTAATAGTTTTTACAAATCTTTAATAATGTATAAACATTTGAACAGTAGTCTATGAAATAAGTCACCTCTGTAGCTACTGATTTCTGTTGATTCTACTCTTAACCTTCAAGGTCTGTTTCTAAATTACAATAATTCTATTGCTCTCATACTCTAAAGCCAATCTACCTTTGAAAGCACAGACTGTGTTAGTGTTTGGGGAGACTGTATCCTGATAAGTAGGACGGGAGCATGGAGATCCCTTATTTCAAGCCTACAATAACTAAAAATATTTAAAAAGTAAGAGAGAAAGAAATCAAGAAACAGAAGATGAGGACTGAGTGTCCCCACTGCCTAAGGAACGAGGTGTGATGACTTTCGTGCCCCCAATTGTAAGTGATGTCAGCATCCTGATTTTACGACTGAGCAGGTAGACAGACACATTTCATCTACACTGAAGCCAGCTCAGTGACCAGTATATGTTCACAACCTTAACCTATGCCCCATGCTTAACTCTCTCATCAATTGTATCTCCTCATGGTACTTATAGGTTGGGCTTATAGACGATTTACATACTGGGGCCAATTTTCTCCTTGTATCTGAAAACAGCCTTCTTATTTTACAGTTTATAAGACTACTGCTTTCCCGGGGTCACCATTAGGCACAGATTTTGCACTATTTGAGGTGACCCGAAACTTGAATATAAGGGTTCAAACTGTCACCTGATTAAACTATCTACTTACAGTGAAGTGGTCAGCACGCACTTCCACAAATATCTAGAATGATCAGTAGACTAGGATTCACAAGATGAGGTAAAAAATGCCTCTGAAACATACTTAAACTACACTTGGAAACATTTTACAACCTCAGCTCCCTCTGGGTAAAAAGAGAGCAGTTTGCCTGAGCTGTTTTGCAAATTCCCTCCATGCACAAAGATCCAGATGGCCAAATCATCTTGAAGTGCTGCTTCCCTGTGCTTTGTGGATCAACATTTAGGTGCAAATCTCCGAGATGGGGTTTGGCACTCATCTCCTCTTTTGCTTACTTCTCTGTGCTACAGGTAGTTGAGAGATGGCAAGTTGTGGGCAAGCTTATCATGGCCATTTTTATTTCCCTTTTCTTCAAATTCTTGATGATCAGAAAAATACCATTTCTTGTAGAATTAAAGTTTCAAATTCTCTTTGTTTTTTTTATTTATCAGTGAGGTATCCAATGCAATTTTCCTACTTAATAATATTTCAGTGTGTCTGTTACACTCTATTGTGTGTGTTTATCATTCCAGCCTCCAGTGGGGACATTGTGCTGACCCATTCTCCAGCCTCCGTGTCTGACTCAAGGACAGAAGACCCCATCTCCTGCAGGTCCAGCCACAGTGTTGAGGAAGATTTTGAAAAATTCAGTAGTATAAGGTATATATACTGGTTTCAACATAATCCAGGACAGCCTCCACAACTCCTGATCTATGGAGCATCTAATCAATTCCCAGAAGTTCCAGACCAGTTTAGTGTTACTGCATCCGAGACTGACTTCGCCCTCACCATTGGCACTGTGGAGGCCAAGGCTGCTGTGAACTATTACTGTCAGCAGAGTAAAGAGCCTCCACCCACAGTGCTCCAGCTCTGGATGAAAACCTCCCCAGGTAGCTGCTCAGAGTGGCTGTCTCACAGATGTTCCTTTTTCTGTAGTGAACTTTATGCTTGTTTAGAAAAAGTAACCTACCTATGAGAGGAACAGTATCTAAGGTGAAATGATTGTGTTTTTCCTACAGGATGATTTACATATTTTTTTCATTATTAAACAAGAACCTCAGTGTTACTATTGCTCAATGTCATTTCTATATTCAATAATAACTTCTTGAACACCAAACAGTTTAACTTCAAACTTTTT